ATATTTATAAATTTTATCAATCACACACACACACACACACACACACACACACACACACAGTATATAGCTAAGTAAGTATTTTGATCAAGGTGCTTATATAGTTTGTAAGCGTGCAATATAATACTAAGTGTTGATTTCTTATTACACTCATTAGGCCCTTTTCAATGCAAGAGTGATTGTACTCACCTTCCCTGGTTATATATTCAGGAGCCCATGGAGTGAGATTATGCAGAGCTTTGGCTGAAAGCTCCCGAATAACACTACAATTTAGGAAGAAAGAGGAGAACCAATATATATGTAATTTATTTTGCAATTTCTATGCCACTCACTCATGTACAAGTACATAAAAATACAAATGTGGAAACAGAATGTTAGTTAGAAAAAACTCATTAAATACTACTGTTGGCTTCCAAAGTTTCTTATCAATGAAGCTGAAACTGCTAAAATAGAGATCCACTACTTTTTTCATAGAAGCTATGGTCTGTAACATTGCTACTTGCTTTCTTTTCTGGCATACTTATTTCAGAAACCCAAAAAACCCTCAGAATGTCCAATTCACTGTGTTCCGGGGGGAAAAAAGCAGAATGAACCAGGAGTTCATTTTTGGAGTGGTGAGCACATTTGAAATGTTGACTCTATATGTACTTTCATAATACTGTTGTCACTCATTTATCAGAGAGTAAGCTAGTGTTCACTTTATGTCGTCCTTTCTATTTCTCCTCCTCTAGTTAGCTGACTGCATTTGCTTAGTGGTTAAGCACAAGGCTGGCTATTAGAAGACTGAATTCTAGCCCTGTCTGAGGCCCAAAGCCAGCTGGGTGATTTGGGCCAGTGACTCTTCGTTGACCCCAAGAAGGAGGCAATGGCAAACTATTTCCAAAATGCCTTCCAAGAAGACTGCAGAGATTAGTCCAAGCACCCCCCAGGAATCAATAAGGATGCATAGGAACTAAAATAAAAATGAAATAATAGTGAGCATATCAGCTAAGGGCTCACCATTATTAATTCAATCTCAAAAAGGAAAATATTGGCATTAATCCATTTCATTACCAAAATTGATTTGAATGTCATCATAATCTTCAGAAATGAGTTAACTGGTCTTAGCAATTTGTAGAAAAGTGAATTTCCAGATCAAAGAAAAATAAAACAAATACATCACTAACACATTTTAGAAAAGAGTTGTTTTTTATGATCAGATTATTACAAACTAGCACTAGTAAACATACCTATCCCAGTGGTTGATCTTCATGCTAATCAGATGATCGATCATTGGCTGTGTATACTCAGGAAAGCTAGCAACATATACACTGAGGAGATTGAAGAAATACATAAAAAATACAACTCNCCTCCCTCCCTCCCTCCACCTCTCTCTCTCTCACACACTCCTCAGCTACCATATGAATCCCATGGGACTGTCTTGAAAACCACCTAGAAGTTGCAACAAAGGCAGAACGCAGTGGCATGAGTAACTATGGATGATATTTCATAATTAACCATGTCACATAGTTGTTTCACAAAAAACCATGTCTCCCTATAAGCTTCTGGGACAATTCAAAGCTCTTTTTATCCTCTCTAAAATCCTTCATGGCACAGAACTTGCAAGACCATCTGTCTCTAACTGTTTCTGCTCGATCCATGAGATCCAGCAGATTATTCACGCTTTTGATCTCTTCCACAAAACAATGCCTTCCAGTAGCTTTTGTGTTTCTTCAAATTGTACATTTCCAGATTAGGACATCTAATAAATAAATAAGTGACTCCCTGATATCCAGATGTAAATGTGAGATAATGTTGATATTTCATCATTAGTCTTAATTGACAATGGAGACCAAATGAAAAGTAGCAGAAATTTGGTTATAGAAATCAAACATTAGCAATATTATCTATTTTATGTTTAACAAAGCCATCACGAATCATTAAAATACAGTTTTTAAAATACTTGAAAATTGTTACAAAACATTCTACCTTACACCTGAGCTCTCACCTCCTGGAGTTTGCCTTTTAGAAGGAACTTTGGAAGGGCACCCAAGGCTAGTGAAAAACCACAGCGAATCATTTCCTCATGTCTTTGAAGGCCTGAAATGTATTGCACCAGCAAATCTGCAAAACATCACACTCACTGTCTGAGTAATTAAAACTCCAGAAACAATGCTTTAAAGTATTAAAATAACAACTGATTATTCTTGAGGGAGGGTGGTGATTAAACAAACAATTGAAACCTATTCATGTAATATTCATTATATAATGTATTACTAATAATTCTTATATCCCAAAACCTTCAAAAGTTTTATTATGACAATGTTTTGACAGCAAAGCATGAGAATAAGCTCCACAAGATGGCACGAGTCCATTTTCCTTCAGTGATATCATTCTATCACTTCAAGCCATTCAGCATGTCTTCACTACAAGATAAGTGGTAAAGCATTACTAGTGAATTCTCTGAAAATGAGGAAAGCATTTTTTTAAAAAAACACTGTCAGGAAAGAAATTCCAAGAATTTACATATGCATATATTTATTTCCTTTGGGGAAAATATTAGATTTTCATCCTGCTGGACTTCCAGAGAGCCATTAAAATGCTGGCTCTTTTACCAAGCCATGGAGCAACAGAAGGTCTACCAGTAGTGGGATTCAATTTTTTTTACTACCGTTTCTGTGGGCGTGGTATGGTTGGTGTGGCTTGGTGGGTGTGGCAGGGGAAGAATACTGTAAAATCTCCATTCCCTCCCCACTCCAGGGGAAGGTTACTGCAAAATCCCCATTCCCTCCCAATCAGCTGGGACTCGGGAGGCAGAAGGGGGTGGGGCCAGTCAGAGGTGGTATTTAGCAGTTCTCCAAACTACTCAAATTTCCGCTACCGGTTCTCCAGAACTGATCAGAACCTGCTGAATACCACCTTCTAAGTCTACCCACTATAGGTAGCTTTAGTGTGATAGATGTTTGTACTGTAATCATCCTCCGTGTGCCCCATATATTTTTGGTGTTTCTGTTTCTGCTTGTTTTAAGCAGTTATTTCTTTGATGTTTTAACCGCATTGTGTAAGACACCTAAAATTACACTATGACTGAGATGCCATACAAGTAGACAAATAAAGAAAAAAGAAAAGCACAGTGAAGCAGCACAGCATTCACAAAGCATTAGCCTATGAAACAAGGAAAAGTTCTAATTTAATCAAAACACAAACCAAGTTAAATTAAAAATTAAACAAAATAATATGCTAGAGAAAAACATAGGTAATTGACTGTACAAAAGTTTGTTCTATATGAAATGTGGTTCAGGTGGTGCATTCTTTTTTCTTTTCTTTTTAGTTAGCAAGATACCAGAAGTAATTCTTAGATTTTAAAAAATAGAATCGGGTGAATTATTACCTTGCTCAGCTGGATTTGCTCCTCCCTCTTCATTGCAGTAATATTCATTACATAAAGCAGCTAACGCAGATACTGCTGATTCCTAAAAGCCAAATCACAAGTATATAGAATTACTTCTCTTTCAAATGCACTTCGAAAGAATTCTATTGTAGAGACACCTGATAGATCATCTGCAAAAATCCTATGGTAACATATTTAATGTCTATTTGTGCAATTATTATGACTATGTCAGATAACCCATTCGTCTGAGATTTCATACAGTTGAGTAATATCCTATGCTCAAATGTTCCACTGTATGAGCCAGAAGCAAGTCGAGCTGGTCAAACAATGCTACATTACAAATTATCCTGAACTAAAACCTCCATTTGGTAGTAGGACGGGAAGATACTGCAATTAGTTTAGTATTGCTCTAATCATGGCTCCGAAGAGGTAATACTAAATTGAACTACATTTCAGCATGCTCTAGGTATAGCTTAAATAAAGCATATTTTTTTTTGTTCTTTAATCAGCACTTTTGTTATCCAAATGTACAGCATTTGGATCGGTGACTGTAATAAAGTATTTGGTATTATCCGATTTATCTCAAATTGATATGATATACAGGTAGTCCTTGACTTGAGACCATAATGGATGGGCCCATCAATTATAAATTGTGGTGGTTGTAAAGTCATCCATATGACTGATCTGATTTTACAACGTATGTCTGCAGTGGCCATTAAGCAAATCACTGTGATTGTTAAATGAATTTAGAAACACTAGAAATTTAAACTGTAATGCAAAACATGATATTTAGACCTTTTAAGATCAATATGGATAAAATTAAAAGGTAATTTTAATTTTATCCGTATTGATCTTAAAAGGTAAAGGTTTCCCTCGCACATATGTGCTAGTTGTTTCCGACTCTAGGAAGCGGTGCTCATCTCTGTTTCTAAGTTGAAGAGCCAGCGCTGTCCAAAGACATCTCTGTGGTCATGTGGCTGGCATGACTAAATGCCAAAGACCCACGGAATGCTGTTACCTTTCCACCAAAGGTGGTTCCTATTTTTCTACTTGCATTTTTACNTTGTCCCAGCTTCTGCCAACCTAGCAGTTCGAAAGCACGTAAAAAATGCAAGTAGAAAAATAGGAACCACCTTTGGTGGGAAAGTAACAGCGTTCTGTGTGCCTTCAGCGTTTAATCATGCTGGCCACATCACCATGGAGACGTCTTTGGATAGCGCTGGTTCATCAGCTTTGAAACAGAGATGAGCCCCATAGAGTCGGGAACGACTAGCACATATGTGTGAGAGGAACCTTTACCTTTACCTTATATCACAATTTTAGTGACCCCTTTTCTGATCTCCAAAGTTAAACTACAAAATCTGATGGATGATACTAACAGTAAAATAAATTCCTGATAATAGGAAGTAATAAACAGTAATCAAACAATCAGAATGAGTTACGGTTGAGTTGTAGGTTTAAAATTTATTTATATAGGAGCTAGGAAAATATGAATTACTATATGATACTTTAAAAACTCTTACTTTATGCAACTATCATTTTATATGGTGAAATGGGTTAAGGAAAAAAGGGCATCTAAATAAACAGTATTGTTCTTGTTACCTCTTCTTTTCTTCTGCTAGAAGACTCAATGCATGGGTGATCTCAGCACATGCTAGAATTGCTCCATGACGAGTATGGAGATCTATACCAACTGCTAAAGGCAGCAGCTTTGGTAAAACTGTAAGACACATAATACAAAAAATGGTAAGTTAAATTATTACACAACAATCTCTTCTATACAGAGTATTTTCTAGAGAGAACATATTTTCTTATGGTAGATTAGAAAATAGAAGACTAATGGGGTTTTCAAAAGGGCAAAGAAGCCTCAGAGACTACGAACGTAAGAATGTAAGTTCCAAAGGTACCTTCTTCAAAAGGCAATTGGACTTTGGTTTTCCTTGAAGATGCTTCACTTCTCATTAGAGAAGCTTCTTCAGTCCACCATTCAGTCAGAATTGAAGAAGCTTCTTGGATGAGAAGTGATGCATCTTCAAGGAAAACAAAAGTCCAGTTACCTTTTGGAAAAAGCCCGTTTGGGACAACCATGACCTGGATGAATAAGAATCTCTGTAGACGTAAGAATGTAAAATAAGCCTTCTGGATTAGGAAAGGTTCTATTGTAGCATTTTGTGCATTTAGGAAACTTGCAACAATGGACAAGATGCCAAGAGCTATCTCCCACCAATACAGGGACATCAAGACTAATATTATTTGATTGCCTGAATTCCGTCAGACTGCTTTTAAACCCATCTAAGTTGTTAACTATCATCATATCTGGTGGAATCATATTCCACAATATTCCTTGTTATTGCAGTAAGCTTCAATTGATGACTCCAAATTCCAATAGGCTAAATGGAAAGGGGTAATTCACACTTCTCTAGCCATCTTTATTTTAAGCAAACCTCCCCTCCCACCTCCAAATACCAAGTACCATAGTCTTTGCTTCATTCCTTATATTCATTTTAGTTATTATTTTCTGCATCATGTCTCTGCTATGTTATTGTCTTTTAAGGTCAATGATTAGAACTGTTCACAGTGTTTCAGATGTTATCCCATCCCAAATTTATAAAAAGGGGGGGGGGGTACAATATTAGCAGTTTTTAAAATTATCTTTGTGGACCTTGGAACAATTTTCAGCATTTACACAGTATAACCATCTTTCTAATATTAGTTGGAATAAAGCATACAAATTTTATGTGTAAAACTATGGCTTTACATATTTATAAATTTTATCAATCTCACACACACACACACACACACACACACACACACACAC